GGACACTCATGGCATCAAAGAGGGTGGTGAAGGAACCAACTGCCATGGAAAGGAGTTGGGTAGCTGGGATGCAAGTGGTCTTGGAGAACAAGGTAATAGATATAATAATTGTGGTAAAAGAAGCAGATGGAGAAGGCAATAGTAATGGTGGTCGAGGAAATTGACATCTAGTGGTGGGAGCAACAGCGATGATGTGAACACCAAGAAAGAACAATATTGTATCTATATTGATGAACAATAAAAAATTTCTTTGATAATCCATCTTTTTAATAGATTTAAAGTAACAATAAAAGAGTAGGTGTGCAGATATTTCATCACTGTTAAAGGTAAAAGAAAGGCTTTGTGGAATCACCATAAATTTCTAGGATGCTTGCTTGTTAAATTGTAAGCATAGATAATGGGTACTTTTCATAGTAGATTAACAATGGGGGCTATTATATACAAATCACCACAAGGAAGTTTGAAAGATTTGTAATAAGTTGAACATAGAAAGAAATTAATAAAAGAAGTTCATGTGGTCAGACTTTGTTTCTATATTATATGATCCACATGATCAAATCAGAAAAATGCAGACGAGAAGACTAGCAAACTATGATTTCAAGAGGCTCATTGACTTTTATTTCCATGAAATATTTTGGTGGCTGGCACACAAATTTGGAAGGACTAATCAGATGATAAGACCATGGGTCTCCACCATCCCATCCGTCCGCTCTTTCAAACACAATATAAGCAGACTCCTCCATTTGCTCTCCACTTATCCTGAAATGATATCCCCATCATACTAAATAGATGGCAACCTTTGATTACTCCTCAACCACACTGCATGTGTTTCTACTTCCCCAATTGATTTTCAAGACCATGAGAGGAGTAAAACTAATCTAGCCGACACCTTCAAAAAATAGAAACTTTCTGTTTCTCAAATTTCAGAAATAATGAAAAAAAATATTCGTTTACCAAAAGTACGTTTTTATAAGCAGTTACGAGTTTCTGTTCTAGAAGAAGAGAAAACAGCGGAAAGCAACTTAAATTAGCAAAGGAATCCACCAATTGAAAGAACCTTGGTTCAAATACCTCGACAACTCTACCCCAATTATAAGGTCAAGGAAATCAGGTAGATATGGGAAAATGTTACTAATGGTCACACCATCACCGACCATATCCGTTGTGACAACAACATGCAAAACCGTTCCACAATTGGTGTTTGTGTAATCTAACTCCCCGAAAAGCTATAGAAAACAAAATAATGCATCTTATGGACCTCCTTTTTGTATCTTCGGTTCTCTTACACAGAAACAACCTCACTACCAAACAGTACGGCTTAATTTGATCGGCAAAGTTCCGTTCGTACCCAAACCAAAGTGTTCGATGGTATTCTCAAGAAACAGGCAGGAATTAACAGAGGAGACTCACGTCACCGCTTCGATCAGGCATCTCGAGGGCGAGCAAGTGCGCCTTGTTGTGGAGGGGGAAGGCCTCCGCCGCGGCCATCTCGTAGATTTTGTCGTCCCCGAGAATGGATCGCACGTCTGCAAAGCCGCATACAGATCTGAGCCGTAACGACGGAAACGAAGGGCAGGCGAAACAGAAAGGGAAACTACAAAAGAAGGAAAAAAAGGACAGAACCCTTGGCGACGTATTGGATCTCCCCGGCGGGGGCATTGGCGAGGAACCATTTGGCGATCTCTGCCTTCTGCTTGTCGCTGAGCTCCTCAGGCTCATCTCCTCCTCCTCCTCCTCCTCCTCCTCCTCCTCCGTCCGCCATCGGAGGGAGGCACGGCAGTTTATTAATTGGCAGCCGAAATTATGGGGGTTGGAGTGGTGAGGAGATCCCAAATAAGTATAATTCGTGCAAAGAGAAACTCGCGGAGGTTTAATAACCATTTTCTTCTTTCTTTTTTTCTTTTTTTTTTTCTTATGACAGGGCTTCCGTTTTCGGTTTCTTTTAAGAAGAAGAATAAATCAATAAATAATAGCCAAATATTACTTTTTCACGAAAACATTTTTTTTATTATATTTCCGTTACTCTTTTATTGGAGATATTATATATTTCTATTTTTATGGAGGTTTAGCAACCATTTTTTTTCTTTTTTTATTTTTTATGACATGACTCCTATTTTAGGTTTCTTTAAAGAGATATTTTAAATTTGACTTTTTTTTTACTAAATTGTTACGGTTACCATTGCTCTATTTTTAGAGATGTATATTTCTAATTTATGGAGGTTTAGCAATATTTTTTTTTCTTTTTTTATGCCACGACTCCTGTTTTAGGTTTCTTTTAAAAAGAATACACTAAAAATGCTATATTTTTTACTTTTTTTTTCTAAAGATATTATGCTTTTATTTTCATGGAGGATTAGCAACCTCGTTTGTTATGGCATGGCTCTTGTTTTAAATTGCTTATAAGAAGAATAAATAAATTTTACTTTTTACGAAAAACCTATGTTTTTCATGTAACTCTTTTTGAATGATACATTATATTTCTATTTTTAAGGAATATTTCTTTCTATTTTTTTTATGACATGGCTTCTATTTTAGGTTGTTTTTAAGAAGAATAGATATTTTTTTACTTTTTACAAAAATGCTATATTTTTATTTATGTTAATTTCTATTTTTATGGAGATCTAGCGAACATTTTTCTTCTTTTTTTATTGGCATGGCTCCTGTTTTAGGTTTTTTTAAGCAGAATAAATCATTTTCACTTTTAAAAAATTATATGTTTAATTTTTTTTTGTTCTTTTTTAAGAAAATATTATAGATTTTTATGGAGGTTTAGCAAACACTTCTTTTTTCTTTTTGATATGGCTCCTGTTTTAGGTTTCTTTTTAGAAGAATAAATAAGTATTACTTTTTACGCAAATGATTTTTTTATTTTTTAAAGATGTTATATTTCTATTTTTACGGAGTTTTACAGACTTTTTTTACCTTTTTATGACATGGTTTCTGTTTTAGTTTTCTAGTAAATAAATCTTACTATTTTACTAAAAAATATTTTTTTTCCTTTTATTATAATTTTTGAAGAAAATATTTTATTTTGTTGGAGGTTTAGCAGACACGCTTGTTCTTTTTCTTTACGACATGGCTCCATTTTCATATTGCCTTTCTAAATACTACAGCAACTACATGAATAATAAAGTGAATATTTAATTATTTAAATCAACTACATAAATCTTTTACTATCATTTATAAATATAAGATGTCATATCATTAATTAAATTAGAAATGTCACTAATAATTATTTTGTAGCTTTTGTTGTGGCGTATTTAGTATCACTAATAATTATTTTATTCTTTTCAAGTACTATAAGCATAAAAATTATAATCATATTTATGTGATGTAACAAAATACGTCAAAATCGAAATCAAATAACGATAAATCAAGACCAAGATTATGTGTCATTCAAAAAAATTTTATCTAAGTTATAAGCACACAGTTGGATTCGAAAAAAGGAACCATATCAACGTGTAAAAAGAATTTAGACTTACTTGTCCTCTTTTCTTATCGAATTAATTAAATAAGTTACTATAAGATTCTATCTATTTATAGATAAAACAAGATAAAGCGCTTATCAAAATTAAAATTTTTTTTATTAAACGAAGATCATAATATATATTACCTAATTAAATAGGATTACAACTATATCATTTGTGTCTCTATTCATACAATCTCAAATAATTCCCTATCATTTTATAGAGTTGTCCATAAATGATGAAGTTTTTTTTTTTTTACATCTAGTTTAATGTTCTCCTATCAACGATATATATATATATTTTAGGTATGTTATTCGAAAGTCACATTCATATAAGAACACTCAAATGTCAAACATCTGTTTTTAATAAAGCATCAATTCATCCCCTTAGAATCCTCTTACACATCTATTATTATATGGTGAAAGTTGTATCGGAACTTACACAGGAAACACTACCACCAAAAAGAAAATCTCGAGTGAAAGCAAATGAAAATATACAATTTTTTTTAAACAAAAACGATTCATTTATTTGACTGAATCAAGCTTTTACACGCCTTAACCTGTGTTAGTAAATTCTATAAATTTGTGTACTTGCATGAACTTGTGCCATTTAGTGCAAAGTTTAACTCGCAATTCAACTTCTTCACTTTATATGATGTTATATATCTTTTTAACTTAGGCTAACTAAATTTAACAAAAAATTTCTTACCTGAATTCGTTAGATGAATATTAACCAAAAAGAACGGTTATCAAGGAAAACACTCTTTTTATTGGAATTTTTTTTTATGATACCCCTTTTCATATTTCCTAGTGATCCATCCCTATTTCAAAATTTTTAAAAATACCTCACAAACTCATCTAAATCCAAAAAAAATTTCAAGATTTAAAATATTTTTGTTTTAACAATATTATATAATATTTTTTTGTTTTAAAATTATTATATAATATTTTTTGTTTTAAAAATATAATGCAACGTTTTTTGTTTCAAATATACTGTGACATCAATATTTAATATTTTTGAACTAATCTTACAATGTTTTTTTTGGGATAAAAACACTAAAAGGCAGGTTCAAAAATACTATATAGTGTTTTTTAAATGTTATAATATTTTTATTTTGAAAATAATATATAATACTTTTAAAACAAAAATACTACATAATTTTTTAAAAAGATTATGTAAAAACGCAGCAAATAATTCATGAAAACCTTTTTAAATTTAAATAAAAAAATCATTTTTGAAAATCATTTTTGAAACATTAAAAATAAATATTACTGTTTAAAAATTATAATAACAAAAAAATCATCAAATAAATCTTTAAAAAAAATTCCCGAGCATTTTTCCAAGAATAAATGTCATAGATCAATATCTCAAAATATATATATATATATATATATATAAATAATATTATATCAAAGTCAAGCACACTATTTCCAAACTTTAAGAGGATTTATGTGTGAAATTGGAAAAAAAAAACCAGGGCCTCAATAACTTGTACCCATCCAACTGAGTCAAAGATCCCTGCCACGTGTGCTCTGGCAATCCAATACAGGCGAGTTGAAGAAGCCCATACCCCAAAACAGCCCTGTTGACTCCTCTGTTGTTTTCTTGGCTCCTTATTCTAAAGACAATTTCCCCAAGAAAACAAAGTCTATTATACAAAACTACGAAAGCAGACGCCACACACCACCACTTTCATTTACAACCACTGGTAGTATTCTACACAATCCGTTGGCTTCGTCATCCAACAGCACACGATGCCAACTTGACTAAGTAGAACACCAACCTTATGCGAAATATATCACTCTGCTTGTGTTTCAGGCGGGGGAGAGACGTTCGCGCGCGGCTTCTCCGCCTGTTCCCCGAATACCTTGGCGATCCTCTCGATCGGCACCGTGGGCAGGTACTGCGCCACCGGGTAGTCCCTCGCCGCGGCGGCCCCCACCGCCTTGTTGTACCTCTCCGCCCAGTACGCCGCCGTGGGGACTAGGATCTGCGCCACCTGCAGAAACAGTGGCAGGCGGTTCAGCGACCGCCACGCGGCTACCGCGTACCGCTCCGCCACCGGCTCGTACTGCCCGTACATCTCCTTCGCCACCGGCTCGCAGCGGGCGTAGAGATCCTTCGCCACTCCCGACGCCGTCGCCATCACCCCCGTCCGCTGGACCTCGCCGACGAGGGAGCGGGCCACCTCCGGCGCTTTCTCCGCCGCCGTGTACGCCTGGACCGATGCCGACTTCAACACCACCGGCACGTGACGGTCCACCTCCGTCAGAGACTCGCCCACCTGTCACGTGACATATAAAAATATATCTTAGACGCCGTTTGTTGACGGCAGCCAAGGTCATACGGCTGCCAACGCCGCTAACGTAGTAAACGGCGTACGTGAATAAAAATTTAAAAGCAATCTATAATATTTTGGAGTCCGAACCAAGTGATGTTCTTAACGACAAAAGTCGATGGGTTAGTCGCGTGATATCTCTCTGTGGCAGCGTCATCGCACCTCTTTTTAACCTTCAGTTCTTACCAACCAAAACCCCATAACGGATTGTAGCATCCGCTATATTTCATGTTAAATAACACGATAAAAAGCCCGTGCGATATCGGCATAACGGTTGGTGCGGCCAGAGGGGGAGGAGAGATGGGATCTGAGTACCTTGGTATCGACGAACTTGAGGATCTCAAAGGGCACATCACGGAACTTCTCATAGACGGGGCCGATCACAGCGTTTACGGCGCCCTCCACGCTGTGGACTCCGGGTTTCAGCGGCCCCGAGTTGTCCTTGGCGAATTCGTACAGGCCCGCCAGGCACACCACCGCCTGCAGCACCGCCACGTGCACGAAGCCCAGGTACTTCAGTCCCTCCGGCTCCCGGCTCTAAAACCACCAACACAGGAAGAACACCATGAAAACCCTCGCCAAATCCCTAATCCAACCCCAGATCAAACCTAAAACACAAAAGAAGAACAACAAGGGGGAACATGCTTACGATCTCTTCGGTTTGGGCTGGGGTTTCAGCCATCGTCCCCGTAATTCGATCGATCTGAAGGGCAGTGAAAACAGATCCTTTCCTCTCCGAAACTTCGCGTAGAAAAAGTCAGTTCGCTTGCTTGCTCGCTCGCTCGCTCGCCTAATATAGACGCTGTTCCGCGATTCCATCCCATCTTATCGGTCCCGTTCACTAGACCCACGTTTGGGGATCGTCTACGTGGCTCCATGTTCTCCACAGAATGGAACAGGGGCCCGCTTGAAGAACACAGGGCTCAACCCACGAGAGAGAGTTCTGGTGGAATCAGAAGACATCACGTGCAGGACACGAAGCTGAAAGGCCAGTGACGTCAGGAGGGAGGGCAGCAAGGCCGAAGGCGGACTGGAGCGGTTCGGTGGGATCACGTGCCCGGCGGTTTTCGTGAGACTTACCGATTCGAATCCGTGGGTGGCGTCAAGAAGTTTCCAGATGGCTCATTTCCGTAAATGCCCCTACAGTGGTAGCATATTACCTTTAAAGCCCACCTCTTCCAGAATATTCCTTCATAATCTGAAAAGATCCAGTCGCCGACGGACTTCGAATCGGACTTCGGCTGGTAACTCAACATCATACCCGAATTCTACATCCTTTCACTGCCGTAAATACTCATGGAGGCAGTTGGCAATAAAAGAATTTCACTAATTAATTTAGATGTCGTCCAATTTATCAGAAAATCTTTCACTAATTAACTTTTATGAAATGGTATTCCTTTATTCAGAATTTAATAAGGAGAGTTTTTTTAATATCAATCTTACCTTATATTCCAATCTTTTTTTTATTTCATGAACTAATTAGGTTAACCCTATGTTGATTCCTTCATTCGTTCTCATGTAATATCTATATTTACAAATAGATTTTTTTAAATAATAAAAATATTATTTTTTTCTAAATTAAGAATTTAGTTTTATAAGCTTCACCTATATAGTCCGAAAAATATTCAAGATTGGTATATCATTATAACATCAATCATATCATCAAATCACATAACATCTTAAAACATATAAAAGCTTAAGACATTATCCATCTTAAATAGTGATCCTCGAACATAAATATTTTTACTTTACACTAAATATTAAGATAACTTAACCTCATATTAAGGTTCACTAGTATACTTTGATTTATTGCATTATACTTAGTGTAAATATTGATGCTTACGCATGCTCAGTTAATATTTTATAAAACACAAAAAATAATATATTTTAAAAAATATATATTTCAATATAAAAATTTAAAAATATAAGTATATTATTTATCATGTTTACAAAACATATCACAAATGAATTAAAGGTAGCATATACATATTATTTATATTTCTATTAGTTGTAAATATATATATATATATATATATATATATATTGAATATTAACATCTCTCTTACCTCCTCTTATCCTCACATCTTTACATAACGTACGTCTCTATTGTTCCTCTCCAAATGACCCCTCTCCAACTTCCTTCTTTCACCCAAACCTCAAACCTCTTATCTTCTCAGTGTCTCTTGCATCATTTGTTAGCTCTCTTCGTGTCCTCAGTATCATTTTATGTGCTAAGTACTTGACCATATGCACCAACGAGACGATTTAAGGATTACTCCATGCTAAGCAATAATGATGCTAGTTGGTGGCTGATATGCCGTCCAACGTCATTTTGAGGTAGATTCTTAAATGAGTGTATTTTGATTTATTTTTTATTATAACACAATGAACTTCCTTCATATCACATAAAACTTTCACATCAATACTCAAATATCATAGTAACACCTATATAGCATTTTTCATTATTTTTGCTGGATTTTAGAATTATTATTTCTCACATTTTGAGATGAATTCTGTAGTTAATTATATTTTTATTTATTTTTAAACATAGTAAGATGAAGTTCTTTCAAACCATCTCAAACTTCCACATTGATAATCCATTTATCATGCTAAAACATGTTATAGTATTCTTTTAATCCATTTTTTTAAAGGCTTTTAGGATTATTATTAAAAAAATTAACATGTTTATTTTATATCATCTTCAAGCGTAATGATATAAAGTTCCTCCAAACTATTTTAAACGTTTACATTAGTACTATACTAAAAGATTAACACACATTACAAGATTTTTTTTATTTTATTTTTGGAGGATTTTAGGATTATTATTTCTCAAATTTTACACAATTTAAGGTGAATTATGTAATTAATAGTCAAATAAGAAATTAACACTCATTTTAGTGTTTTCCTATTTTGGAGGATTTTATGATCATTATTTTTTATTTTAACAATAATATAAATTTAATTTTATAGTCAAGCATATTTCAATTCATTTTCAAGTGTAACTATGTGAAGTTCTTCAAACCGCTTAAAACAGTCTAAATGCTAGTGAAATATGATGTTGACATATATTCTAGTTTTTTATTTTCAATTTAGAAGTATTCAAGGATGATAACATATTGATTTTGCACATTTTATGTGGATTTTGTACTCAAGTGTATTTTATTTCATTTTCATTCCATTGTTTTTTTCATCCTAGGAGGATTTTAAGATTGTCAGCATGATTTTATGTTGAATATGTAGTCAAGTATATTTCATTTGTGTTTTTTTCAAGTGTATTAACATAAAGTTCTTCCAAACCATTTTGAACATTTCAAATATTAGTGAAATATGATAATAACATTCATTCTAATATTTTTCAACTTTATGAATATTTTATAATTATTATTTTATGAATTTGATATGATTTTAAGGTTCATTTAGCAAGACAAAATTTATTCAAATGCATCAAATTTACACCATGTAAAGTAAGGATGACATATATTATATATGAATCCATTATTTTTCTTAACTTATGGTGATTTCAGTATTTTGTTTGAAAATTAATATGTTTGAAACCAGCATTGAGATGTTGTGCAGTAAAAGTGAGGAGGAGCGGCCCAGCAGGAAAAAGGAGAATGAGAAGAAAGAGCAATGCATGGAGGGGCAGAGGAGGGGAAGGAAAACGAAAAGAAATAAGAAGGGACAAAGTAGGAAAAGAGGAAGAAGAAAGAAGGAAAAAGAAAGAGTAAAGTGATCGATCATTGTGGAGGAGAAGGTGAAGAAGAAGAAGAAGGAAAGAAAAATAAGGGGAGGGTGGTAGAGAATAGAGAAGATGGGTGACTTGTAGTGATATGTGTGAGGAATTTACTGTATAATAAATATAAATATAAGAAAAGAAAAAAATAAATATAAATATAAGAGAAGATGGATCTATTTACAGTTTTGACCTTCCAATGTCTATCTAAACTCCTATATATAATAATACCAAAGAGTAAATCAACTAAAATATTCTAATTCAAACATAGTACTGAATTCTTTTTTCTTTTTTTTTTTGAAGTCGACATATGATTTTTTGAGTAATCAAGATGTGCAATCTTGATTATTTTGGATAATAGGCATTGTATCTTGGAAATAGAATTTTTGTGAAGCTATCTGTATCGTATATTATTATTTTTGGATCAGTTGTCAGTCACGCTATCAATATTCTTTTATCAAGGTATTATATTAATTAGAAATAACAAATAAATATCATCCCAGGGGGTCGCAGTCTTCATCTTCCTCTTCCTCGTCCAAATCTTCCTGCTGTTTCCCATAGCTTTCCCTCATGCTTGCAAGAAGGCTATCGTACATCAATTCCTCCTTTCTCTTCCTCAAACCGGGCACCAACTCCTCTCGCCCAGTCCTCAAACCCCTCGTCCTCCCCGATCACCATCTCACCACCATCGCCGCCCACCCCCGCCCCCCCGATCTACCCTCCCAACTTGCCCGCTTCTGCTCCCTCTTGAAGCGCAGACGCTATGCCGCTGCCAAGTCCCTCCTCAAGTCCCTGGCCACCGCCGACGGCCTCGCCCATCCCTTCCCCTCCCTGGCTCCCTCCGTCGAGGCCTCTTGCCGGGCAGCCGTCGTCCCCTTTGCCGACGCGCTCGACATGCTCTTCAGGGTGTACTCCGACGCCGGCATGACCGACAGAGCCCTCGACGCCTTCGAGCTCTTGCTCGGCCGGTTCGGCCGGGTCGAGGAGCGGTCTTGCACCATTTATCTCCAGGCGCTGCGGAGGTCTGGCCGCTCCGACTTGGCCCATCGGTTCCTTCTCCGGATGCTTGATTTGGACTCTATCGATGTCTCGGCATACTCAATGGCGATCGTCGTGGATGGATTATGCAAGAATGGAGACATCAAGATTGCACGGGAGTTAATCGACGAAATGTTCCTTGGAGGACTGAGGCCAAATGTCATGTCCTACAATTCTTTGGTCGAACATTACGCTAAGAGGAAGGATTATGGCTCGACGAATGACATACTAGTCTTGATGGAAGAAAGGGGTGTTGAAGCTAGTGTTGGGACTTACACTATTCTGGTTGATGCGTACTCTGATTCGGGCAAGATTGACAAAGCCGAGAAAGCATTTGAGGAAATGAAGAAAAAGGGTTTGACGGGGGACATCTATGCGTACACTTCGATGATCAATGCAAACTGCAGGATGGGAAACATAAAGAGAGCACTCGCCCTGTTTGATGAGTGTGTCGAGCGAGGCCTTCAGCCCACTGACCACACATATGGAGCATTGATCAATGGACTTTGCAAGCATGGACAGATGCTGGCCGCAGAGATGCTGATGGACGAAATGCAGCACAAGGGAATCAACCTCAATCAGATTATATTGAACATGATGATCGATGGGTACTGCAAGAAAGGGATGGTGGACAAAGCACTCAACTTTAAAGCTATCATGGAGAAGAAAGGAATTGAGCTCGATGTGTACACTTATAACACGATGGCTTGTGGGCTGTGCAAGTGCAACAAGATCAGCGAGGCTAAGAATCTTCTGCATGTTATGGTCGAGAGAGGAGTTGTTCCCAACACTGTGAGCTATACAACATTGATAGATATACTCTGCAAAGAAGGTGATATGGTCGAGGCAAGGAGGCTTTTTAGAGAGATGGGTAACAAGGGTGCAAACCCTAGTATCATAACATACAATGTAATGATAGTTGGTCATAGCAAGAAAGGAAGTATTAGGGAGGCTGAGAGGCTCAAGAAGGAGATGGAGATGAAAGGTATGTTAGCTGATGTGTACACATACACTTCACTCATTCATGGGCTCTGCATCAACCGGAAGCTTGATGATGCAATGAACTTGCTTATGGAGATGAAGAAAAGGAATGTGCAGGCCAATGCTGTGACATATACTGCACTGATCTCAGGGTTGTCTAAAGAAGGGAGGTCGGATGAGGCATTTAGGTTGTATGATGAGATGCTGGGGGCAGGAATTACTCCAGATGATCCAGTCTATTCTTCTCTTGTAAGCAGCCTCCATAATGCAAAGGAAGGTGAAGCTTTGGTTGACAGAAATCTGGTGCATAGGGCTGAAAATAGCACTATTAGAAGCCAGAACATAGGGTGATGCTTTTATCAAGATATCTAAATCCCAACAGATATGGTATATGCACAAGTCTATCATGCTTGTGTTGGATTGACGAGTCTGAAACCAGTTTATGCTTGTGTCACCAGACCGATTGTGTATGATCTGAGAAGTTTGAGAAGTCAGTTTACAAGAGGATATATGTAGTGACTCGTGAATCCAAAATACAGTGGTCTTTTCTTCTTACAAATAGCCATGACTCGAAGACGACAAATGTCAAGGCTATGCTTCTTGAGCAGGTTTAACTCATGGTATCTGTCCGAAGCATCTTTACTTCTCTAATGCGTAATCAGGCCACGTGAGAGTTGGAAGCAAAATTCCTTCTAACCTTTATGATGAGAATTTGTTGTTATCACCATGGATGGTCAAGAATTAAACCACCCATATATCCATCCTGCAAACTAGAATGTTTCTTTCATGGTCCCATCGGGTAAAATTTTTCATGATTTCTCTTAAATTTTAATTTTTTTTTTATCAATGATGTCATTTCATCTAAGATGTAGATGATATATGATCTAATGTATATGCTTAATGCTCTCTTTTATGTGTGTTGTGAGAGTGACTCAAATCCAACATATATGAAGTATAATTTCTGCTTGAATTATATTATTTCGTCTAAGAACTTAAGCCGTGATCTAATTTATATTCTCAACAACATCAAAATCTCTATCCTGTATCGATCTATTTCTAATATGCAGCTCGAAAAGTGCCAAATTGAAGCCTATATTATTTCATCGGATTAAGCTTATTTGAAAGTTTGAACCTCGAACCACCACCGATTTCTTTCGGCTTGCAAACAACCTCATTCGCCCAAGCCCAACCTGAGCCCAATCTAAAAGAACCATGACTTAGTCTATCCCATACCACGCCAAGTTGCTAGAAATCTTTATCCAATGAATCCAACTCGAGCCATCCTGCCCAGCTTAAACCTAATTTCTGGGGTTGAACTGGGCTCTAGATCAGGGTTTATGGTCGAGAATGGATTCGAGCCACACGGGGCATGTTTTGTAGCAAAATTGGGCACGGGGTTTATTCAACCCACCATAGTAAATAAATCATTTTAATATATAAATACTATATTAAGGAACTAATTATATATTACATCGTGTAATTAGCTATTTTATTATTTCGATCCTTATATTTTAAATAATTATATTGACATCCCTATAATTAGAAATAAATGAAACATCTAAATCAATTTATCATAATACTGTGATTTTACCAATGAAAATACGAAAACAATGGATAAAAATATAATTCTAACGTTCCAATTGATGGTTATGGACGATGACGTTGCTAGGGGCACGGATGATTATTATGGATGAAAAGAGTGACGGTGAGAGATGAGGGTTGCTCGACAACTACGTCAACGTAGATATAAAGTAGTCCTCATCTTTCGTCATCGTTCTTCTCATTCATAATAATCCGATATCATCGTTTCCCATCACCAACTAAAATATTAAAATTATATTTTTATATTTTTATTTATAAAACTGATGATGGTAGGATAAATAGATTTAGATATTTAATATAACTTTCTGGATAAAGATGGTTAACTATATGGATAATCTATAATTAATCATGTACAAAACATTGACACCACGAAAGTTTTTTATTTTATTAATTATTATATTAACCCACACTTACCCTTCCTTGTAAGAGAGAGAGAATTAAATGTTCATTTGTTCAGCTCGTATCCACCTTATCCTTCAGAGTAAAAAATTTGGCTCTTATAGACAGGTACAGGTGGATTCTCGATAGAAAACTATATATTATATTTTAAAATAAATATTATATAATTTTAAATATGTCTCGTCCATAAAAAAAATATAATATAATTTTAAAATATCTAATAGCTGAGATTAGTCCAATATCGATGATGATAAAAGGTATATATATTATATTTTATCGGACTTTAGTTCACTCTCGGATCTTTTTAATATTTGGATCCGGATCGTGGACAAAAGCAGCCTAACCTGATTCAGTTACACAACACAATACAGTATAATAATATAATCAATCCATTTCTCAAGGCAAGGCAAGTCTAATTGTTTATTTCCATCTTCTATATCGCCGGTCGTGTTTCGTCTCCTCGTGCTCATCCCCTTCCGGTCATCCCGACGTCATCGAAACCCTAACCCTAATTTTGTCCACTTTGATTGGATCGGAGCTTGCTACGGTTCGCGTCTCCGATCTGGGGCTCCCCTTATCCTCACCTTCCGGTCTCTGATGCGCGACGTCTCCGTTCGGGCCGGACATGGCGCTTGTGGCGGCGGACTCGGCGGGTGCGCTCGTGGAATTGGACAATGGGGGCCCGCCGGGGACATTGGCGCGGCTTGTGGAGTCCCAGAGGGAGCTTTTCCACAGTCAGATCGATCAGCTGCAGAAGCTTGTCGTCGCCCAATGCAAGCTCACCGGTGTCAACCCCCTCGCTCAGGAAATGGTAAGTTTGCGTCTTGAATTTAGGGGGGTTGTTGGATATCACGTTTGTTAGTTTTGATTTCTTCGGTTAGTAAGATCAGAATGGTTGAAATGGATGGAAATATTGGGCTATGAAGCAACAAAATTTTGATTTTGATGCTTATGTTTTTAACTCTTGATGAATTACTAGCTATATATTTGTTGTACGGATGAGTTTGCAGGCTAGGTGGACGATCTAACTCCCGTATTTTCTGTTCACACATGACTAGAATAAGAGTGATATTACTAATTCCTTACCTATCAGTTTAAGTTAGGTGTGGGAAGGACTTCACTTATGATTTCAATAGGAATCTAGTAATGCAGAATTATCTTTCTAATTTTGGATATCGGGTGAGCTTTTTATATTCAATTTGGTAGATAAACAATTGGTTCTTGGTAAGCTCCTTAATTGTCTAACGATTGTTGTTCCAGTAAAGAACTTTTGTGTTATTTTGACGACGTCACACCATCAAGGATGAGACATTTTAAATGGTCAGAAGGATATAGGAAATTATAGGAGTGATATGTTCATGATGTCAGCGTGAATGCACTTTGGTCTAATTGAAGACCTCATGTTTACTAATTTGGGTCATGATTTTGGTAGATTCTGATGTTCTGCTTTTCCTAATTTGTTACTAACAGAATTTGTGGAAATTCAGTTTTCTTCTAGAGATTATGAGGGAGGACAGGAGATGAGAACAAGAAGAAAAATATTAAGGAGAATATGAGGGAGGACAGGAGAGTAGGAGGAAAGAGAAGAATTGGTGGCCATGGGAGGAAAGAAGCCTCTATGATTGAATTGTGCTTGTCGGTGATTGTGCATGACTGGTTGATGCTGGAGTAGGGAAGTAGATGCAAGAGGAAGGTGCTAGTTTCTCCTAACTCCGTTTAATATCTTGCTACTCACCTGTGATAAGTGGTTGTAGACTGCTCATCTGGCTATGTCATATTTTCAATTTAAAAAACAATTACTATATTATTTTTAAATAGAGTTTTAATAGGATATATGTACGGGGGTGGGATTCTTTCCTTGAACTTCAATTGACCAGACTTAGATGTGATTTGTTTAAGAAGGCACTTTGGTCACATGTTGGATTTCGGTCAAAACATCTTGACCCATTAGTAGGTTAGGTTCAGGCCAGTCTTACTGTTGCCTTGGTTGTATGGTACAACTGGATCCAAACTGATGCAAACCCATTTTGTTAAAAACATTATATAACATGCCTTGCAGCCTTGACTTCACAACCCAAGTTGTGTGGGTTTATGTTTTGGTTATGAAAACCTGCTGCCTGCTGGTGGGTTGATTTGTGTTCGAGCCCACCCTATGTTCCCTTACTATCCCATCTCAACCTGGTTAGATCCCTTCCATCTTCACCACTCTCTCTCTCTCTCTATATATATATGTATGTATATATATATATATATATATGTGTATGTATTATACATGTATAATATGTATATATGTATACATATATATACATATATACATATTATACGTGTATAATATGTATATATGTATATATATTTATATACATATATACATATTATACATGTATATGTATATGTCCATGTATATTGTAAAATTGTAAAATTGCTTCTCGATCATTCTTAATGTGTCATTTTGATAATCCGTTCCCATCAATCCTAGGGATTCTAGGAATTAACCTTATTTTAGTCCCAATCTTGTGAATTTTCCTCTTAGTTTGGTTTGAACCTTTGTTTTTTGGTTTTTTTTTTCCTTTTTTTGAGTTTGGTTCGATTCCTTGAGATTATTTTTTGGTACTATTTTATGTATATAATTACAATTTTTTAATCCTGTTGAATGTTCTCTTGCCTAAAGTACCTTTATGAGACCATCATGAAACTTGTGATTTTTTGTTGTGTTGGACTCTTCCCAATTGGAAAAAATTTTAGGGGTTATTTCATAGCTGTCTACTTATTTATAGAGCAGGTCTTGATACAATGGTAAGGTTGTTTTTTTGTGACCTGAGAGATCATGACCGAGTTATGGAAATAACCTCTTTATATAAAAAGGATAATTGCATATATTGACCCTCCCCGGACCTTGGTAGGATCCTATGCACTGGATACATCAATTTTTATTCATTTTGTTATCTCTAAGCTGATTGAAGGTTTAAAATTTCGGCGGTATCAGTTGGTACGTACTGGTATTTACCAGTCTGATGGGCAACTGGTCCATGGACTAGACTATTTTGCTAGATTCGGTATGGAACCAAGCGTATCACGTAAGAAGCCTACTGTGCTGAGCAGTCTAGTAACTAGCTGCTACTCACGTGGCTCATGGCTATCAATTGATAAGTGTACCACTCGGTGACCTGATTCCTGGCACACTTCAAATAATAAAGCTGACCCCTCCCATTCTTCTTTTTTTCTTCCTGAACTGTAGTTTTTTATCCTCCTTCTCTTGAGTTTTTCTTTTTATTTATTTTTTGAAATAAATCTTATTTTGCTTCAAAATTTTCAAATAGCTTGGATTTCAATGAGATTTTGCTTAAATTATGTCTTTGTTTTTCTGTAAGCTTCAATTGCCGTAGATCTACTTTAGTATAAGCTAGATCCACTTTAGTTTGGTGACTTTGGTCTATATCTATACATATTTAACCTAGATTCATGATGGTCTGACCTAAATCCACCAAATCTACCCTATTACAAATTTCACGGTGATAATACCATGACACTGATTGGTCCTTGTTCGTAGAATTTGATGCGTCTTACAGAGCTAGCATAGTGATGATGGTTGCATTTTTCCAGCTTGATAGTCAGTGTAATTTTGCTTTTCAAATCCTCCTTGCCCAGCAGTATACTGCCACAATTGTAGTTAATGATAGACCATGATTGCTAATATTTATTTCATCAGTGAGTACTATATATTGATATCAGTTTCTGTGGGCATAATATCATGCATAGGTTCTTCAAAATTATAATTTTGATATGAGATTTGGCTACCTCTGATTGAATCATGGTGATCCTTCTAGTCGCAGGTCACTAATAAATTATGACACATTTATGAAAAAAAATAATATTTTGCTTTGTAATACATACATGTATAATATACTCTTTTTAGCAAGGTATGCAGTTTCGAATAATACCTTTCGTACCGGGCGGTACATACTGGTTTGTTAGCTGATCGATACACGGATCGCCTGTTATCGGACGGTATATATATATATATATATATATATATATATATATAAAGGCCAACGTTGCGTCGTCTGGAGAAGAAAAAAAAAAAAAAAAATATATATATATATATACCGAGTGGTATACCTAACGGTATATTGTATCATACCGTACCGAGCGAATGTCGAAATGCGGGTACGATACGATATTTCAAACCTTGCTCTTTAGTACATTAATTGGCTTTTTATGCAAGTTTTCTTCACATATGATATGTAATAGATCTTAAAATCATATATGCATGCATTATTGAGCAAAAAATATCAAAAAAATTATATTTTTATTATAATTAATATAGGTTTGATTGAATCGATCTAATCAACTTGTACTGATTGGTTCTGACCTGCATTGACACTTGGTATGGGTGCATACCCGTAACATACCGGTCCTTTCAAGGACTGTTGGTGCCACCAGCCTGAGATTTTAATGGTTAATTGACCTTTGCATATTGAAATTGGTTGGGCTTACATTCTCGTGCACTGTTCTTGTATGCAGAAGAAGATGTTGGAAAGGAAATCAAAGGAAAAAAAACAAGATATCTTTGTGTTAATTCTTTTTGAGACATGCAACATTTATTGTAGTTATAAGTGAGCTATATGTGCACTTATTTTAGTCAATTACTTTCAAGTATAAAATGTAACTCAATTTGGGAACAGCTTGTTGGTATCAAGCAATCTAATGTAAATTCTAGATAATTAAAAATTCTATATTGGGATCCATCCACAAACCCTTTCCCACCACTGTATAGAGTAGCCTAGGTTTGCTTGGGTTTAGATCAGCCCTTGGCCATCAAAGAGGCTAGGACTGCAACTTGGGCTGGTTGGGTTGGGTTGAAGGTAAGCCTAAGTGCAACTTTTGTTTTCATTTCTTAGTTTGCATCCTGACCCAACTTGACCTCCTGCCTGGTGCTTTTAACCCAAGCACAAGCTGAGATAGGGTCAGGTTGGACCTTTGGTTGCTTGGGTTGAAAGCTTGGAGGAAATACTGTAGAAAGGATCATGATTGCAGAAGCAATAATCACCTCCTTTTAATTTGGCATCATGATGAATTCAGAGTACAGTTACATAGAGAAATGATAAGCCTAATATGTTTCCAGAAGGTCCACTAAAATCGTAGATCTTGCCTTAAACATTGTTGCCATTGTGGATATATTCTTTTAGTGAGGACATCCGCTTCAATAGATCCACACAAAGCATGCACAATAAATAGAGATTCTGTCGGTAAGGGGAACAGAAGTGGAAGTTTGTACTCTTATGATTTTATGGGTGACTATATTAGCGACACAACAAAGTATGGATGCTGCTGCACTGGGAGGGTGGCAGAAGTTTGTGGGAGGCATTGGATTGGTTGGTGGGCAGCTTCTCAGCTGCCATGGCAATTGGCTTCTTGACAAGTCTTGGGTTAGGGAGGATGAGCATATCCGATAGAGAGGAGTGATACAACTAGAGACGATGAAAAGCAGAGGGAGAGAATGGCAGTGGAGACAGAAATTGAAGAGGGTGTGTAAATTAGGTGGCTAAATAAAGGATTTAGAATTGAGCTGATCTAATTATGTTGTACATATTTAACTTAATAATACATTAATCATATGATGGTCCGGGTTGTGATGGCCCTGGTTGTTCCACCCCTCAACCCAAGCTCAATCCAAGTCTAAACTGAGTTATCACTTTCCAGCCAGAGCCTGTTCACATGCACCATCAGTGTTGGCCCAAGTTGATTTAGGGTTTGCTCGTTTGCATTGCAGCTTTAAAATAGGACAAAAGATTGTCACAACAATTTGGTACAATTTATATCTTATTTTGCACTGTTGGTAACTTGGTATGATATTTCAGTCTATTCGAGCAATATGATGCCTGCCGTGGTTGACTCTAATAGCTGTATGTATCTATGCATCTTAGTTAGGCTCTTGAAGGACTCCACAAGTCACAGGAGAGGTGGAAGTATAAGTTCATCTCAATTATGACTAATTTGATCCATATCTAGATGGAATAGAGGTGGTAAAAGACTTTCCTAACTGCTCCTAGTTGAGTTGGAGATGGGGTTAATAAGCCTTCTTATCTGGTCCTAGATTGATTAGCATAAGATATCTAATTTTATGGTATTTTAGATTGATTGATTAGGATAAGACATCTATGTAGTTTGTTAGTTACTTAAGTTTTGTTTGATCCATGGATGAAGGTAGGATATAGGTCCAAAATTAAGAGATCAGAGGTAGGTGGCACATCCTCTGCAGTTCATCCAAATTACGGGGGTATGAGTTCCATGGTTGTTGAATTGTTCTATCCCTACTTGTTTGAGTTATTTTCTTGTGATGCTTCTTTTATCTATCCTTACTATTGTCTATTCAAATGCAATGGTTGTAGCATTGAGAAATAATTCATATTGTTGCATTTTCTCTTATCCTCCCTATGGATTCCTACCTGTTCACCAATATATAAGCTAGTTACTCGATATCCCATAGAAATGCTGTGTGAACCTTGTGTTCATGTTTCGTATATTTTTTACCTTAATTTTCTGTGATGCTACTTGGTTTTAAGATGCATGAGCCAACAATGGGTTATGTACATTTTCTGATTTTTTTACTTCTACCATCTAAACTTTCTGCTTCTACAAAGCAGTATGTACATTTAATTACAATAATTTTCCTTCTGTGGATCTGTTATCATTCAAGTTTGTGGAAGCAGCAATGTACATGTTGCACTTATCATTGTTGTGGATTGTCATCTTACTTTTTGTTACATTGTCAATTTAATTTGTTGGGACTGAGCATAAGTCATCAACATTTATGCTTCTTAATCAAATAAGAGTCATTGATCTGTATTTTTTATGTACACCCAATTTTAATCAAGATGGATGATAACTGAGTTCATTTTGGTTTGTCTGCAGGCTGCTGGTGCATTATCAATAAGAATCGGTGAGTTGTTGACTTCCATTTGGATGGCTCTTAGGTGACCATCTTTCTCTGCAGTTTATTGTTAACTTGAAATAGTTCAAAATTTTCCATCCCATTTGATAATTTTATGCTCAAAATTATCGGAAATATAACAGTTAATTGTTCTCCACAATTTGAAGTTTTACTATGACAGCATTTGTTTGTATCTGATTGCAGATTAGTTGTACATAGCTTTTTGAATGGATTTCTTATATAAATGTAAGTCATTATTGAATCATTATACCTCTGCTGAAACCAAAATAAACTTTAGCAAGTAAGGCTTGATTATGTGGACGTGATTGGCTTAAATGCTGAAGACTTAAGTTGAAATATCAAAGATTCAAGAAAACTAATGTTCTTATAGGGTTTAAGCTACTCTGTGTTAGCATATTATTCACTGGAGGGTGAATGTGGAATGGGTGCTTCATTGGTTAGTAAAACTGTCTTAATTTCATTTGATTCAATACATGCAGGACAGAACCATATCATAAAAATAGAATACTAATAATAGATTTGAAGAAAAATTTGAAAGATAAGAATGGCGTATAAAAGAAAGAAGGTTACAAGTAGGAACACTGTAGAATATATTTGGAAGATGATGATATTGTGGAATTGACAATGTAAGTTGGAATATCGACAATGTAAGCTGGAATATCCATTGATTAGAATTCTTTCACGAAGCTACAATACGGTGGGTGCTAAAGAAGATTCTTGTAAAGGTTATAGTGTAGCTTCACGAGAGAGTTACTGGTAGTGTGAGGAGTTCAAAAAACAATCACTATGAGAAGAACATGTTTGAAAGATTGATGGATTTTATTAAAAGTGAGAAATCTATATTTAGCAAAATGAAATAGAGAAAATATACGTCGTTTAAAACTTACACATCCTATGATAACTTTTATGGTAAGCCTGGTAATAAGGATGGGGAAATGGTATTTTTTAGATTGCCAAGGCTAGGAATGTGAAGTGCAGAGAATAGATAGCATTAAATATTTAGATGTATAAAGGATACAGATGAAATAAGTGTTTGTTAACAATTTAAAGCTTAAGGAAAGATGGAGAATTTATTTTGATAAATTATTCAGTGAATACTGTATATAACTTAGCTTTAAAGATAAACAATAATGATAAGTTTATAATTTTCATGTTTATTCTTAATACTGGGGCAATGAGGTAAGGGAAAAGGATGATAGTATCTTAAAGTGTAGGACCGATTTTAATTAAGTCTTGACAAAGTTGGAATAATATGTTTGACTAGTTTATTAACAAGAAGTTGAGAATTAAGATGATGTGAAGAGCTTTTTTGGTGTCCATTTATATGAACAAAAGAGATATTCAAAGTTGCTTTAATAATTTAATTATAGAAGATCTAGACTAGTGAGTTACTGTATAAAACTTTGAGAAAGAATGATTGTAAGAACTAAGAAGAATAAGATACAAAATAATTTTTTTCAAAAGTCAGTTCCATTTTATGTTTGGAAGATCAACCAGGAAAACTATTTATTTATCAACACAATTAATGAAAAAAAATTGAGAGAAAAGAAGAAAGATTTGCATATGGTTTATTTTTAATTTAGAAAATATCTATGATAGATTTCCCAGATATTTTATTACGTTGAATTTATAAATGAAAGAAGCATCCAATAATTATGTTGGTTAACACAAATGCATAATAAAGTAGTCATTTGGTCCTAGGACACTAGGGAGTATGTCTAATGAGTTTTCTATGATCATAGGATTATATTAATTATTAGTTTTAAATTTTTATCTTTTCATATGAGTAATGAAAGAATTTATTTGCCATCTTTAGGATAGACCCTTCTAGTGTATGTTATATGTTGATATTATTGTTCTCGTTGTTGAGTATCCAGCTGGGATTAATTTGTTATTGGACAATCCTTGGAAACTAAATGTTTTGGATTAAGTAGAGTTGAGGTTAAATATAAGGAAAGTAGTTTTAGCAATCTCAAGTTAAAAACTAAAGATGTAATTAAGATGGATGAATAAGAAGTTGCTGTGGTGAAGATTATAAGTATCTCAGATCTATTATTAAACACGAAGAAGAGATTGACGAAATATGAATATATAATATATAAAGTGTAAATTGGATGTTAAAAGGGGATAGGGATGCCAAGAATTTTGTTAATTCATTGTGTGACTCGATTAAAAGATATATAAGATGCAAATCCTCAATGTTTTATGGATTGAAGTATGAGGTAGTTAAAGTCTATTACAGAAGTTCGTGTAACTGAGATGAGATCATGTAATTGAGATGAAATTGTTGTGTTGAATGTGCAAATTACTTAAAAAGTTGTAACAAAAATGTTTTCATCCATAAACAATTAGATTTAAGGTTAAAATGAGGAAAAAACATCTAAGATGATTTGGACTTGTTAAACGAAAGCCTATGGATGTCTTAGAGGAGGTGAATAGATTAGGATTAGTTCTGCAGAGGAGAGAGAGAATGACCTTAAAAATTACTAGAAATAATAAAATTAAATTAAATACTCTTTATTTAAGTCATGATATGCAATTTCGAATGGTACCGCCCGGTACGGATGGTATGTACCGGTCCGACGGCATACCGGTACGTGGACCGCCTGCTATCGGATGGACCGTGCTACAGTGTTATATTGTAGCAGTGCTACAATCCTGCAGTTAGAGGAAATCGCTCGGTAAGCCCTGGTGTACCATTTGGTACGCCGGTACCATACTGTATCGAGCCAACCTCGAAACATCGGTACGGTACGGTATTGCATACCTTGATTTAAGTAGGATATTGCTTTGCACAAAACTCTGGTGGAGAAGTTTAATGTATTTGACTCCAAATAATGGGGACAATAAGGCTTGTCTTTGTTGGAAGTAATCTCATCTAGTTGGTTGGCTTTAAATCATGCTGTTGAGAGAATATATGCATAGCATAGGCATGCAATTCTCTGGCATGGCTCCCCATCACTTTTACATATATATTATTTGCAAAGTTTGGTTAAATATTTCAATTCCCTGTTGTCAACATGGCTGAAAATGTGAACTTACCATGCTTTCAACATAATTGAGTTCGTAAGAGGCATATATTTTGATGTAGAACAGGTTCAAGACAAGAAGAGAACATGTATTCTTTTTTATTTTAGAATAGAGCAAGGGAAAGAGATAGGATGCTGAAGATAATAATTGTGAAAGATAAAATAAGAAAAGGATAACTATTAGATTCCCTTTGCCTTCAAGATTAATTCTTAGGGATGAAGGTCTCAAACCTGTGTACTTTTTAGATTTGGAGGATGGAAAAAATTGTAGCTTCACACTGTTCACACATAATGTGAAAACAAGGTCAATTCATTCAACATTCTAATGATCTTAAGTTATTATTGCTTTCCTCCTTTTCGTAGACCTTGAAGCAAAAGAATAAAAGGAAAATACAAAAACATGAAGAATACATTATAAAAAAATACATTTCATGAATTAAAACATATCATTTCTTTTTCTTAAGTGAAGATATATTTCGATATTTGTTTTGGGAAACAATCTTCTTTGAAAGTTTATTTGTTTTGGATTCATAGGCTTCTTTCTCTGTAGATTCTTGAATCAAGAAGAAACTTTCTTGCAAGAATATGATTTTTAATTGAAACTAAAACTTATATCCTTTCTTTTCCTTTAGAATATTCAGTCATTTGTAATTTTTATTTATCTTGGTAACTGGTATAGGATTATGGAAGATGTTGTAATTTCTCAACTTATAACATTTGCAAAAGACAGCTAAAGTAATTGAAATTATTCAAATAAAGAACAAATTAGAATTGTATGTGGCTTCTTCTACTTAGGAACATATCTAGAGTTTAAATGATTGAAAATTTGTTCTATGTTGATATAGAACATTATAGCTTAGCCAAAAGTTTTGTTACATTGGACAAGTTCATGACAAGCAGAGTGTTTATATATATATATATATATATATATATATATATATATATATATATATAT